GAGCCACAGCGCCACTTCCGGCTTTTTTCTTTTTGCTTATGTGGTGCTGAGGAATCGAACCCAGGGCCTCAGGCACGCAAGGCAAGCGCTCTACCACTGAGCCAACTTCCCAGCCCCACCCGGTTGCTTTTTATTTTATTTTTAAGGGTCCCAGCAGCCCCTAATACCGATGCTTATTCCACAGGCATTGAAATATTTTCCTTCCTCTCCATGAATTAAAAACTATGCAAAGCTCTTCAACATAGGCTGCTCTTAATTTGTAAGTGAAAAAGAAAAATCTAACAGATTTCCTAGAAGTGAAATTAAATTCAAGTACTTTCTATTTAACTTTTGACTCAGTTTCATTGCTACCTCATTCTAATTGTCCTTATTATCTAGAAAAATAGAAAATGTCACTCTCACATCCTATTGAGGAATTCAAAGAGCTACTGAAATGAAGAGGCCCATTTGGCTCTGCAGAAATGAGATGATCATCATTCACAGACACAGCCACAAAAGAGATGTGCTTTGTCTGCTTGCGCCTGGCTTCAGAGCAAATGAGGACCAAATATGCGCACATAACAGGAGCTGGTCCCAGGCAGACAATTTCCAAAGCAGGTTGGTGCACAGTCAGGGAGATACAGCACTGCTTCTGCTGAAAATATTTTCATGCATTGATTTTTTGGGGGGAGGGGTTGCAAGCAAATATTGATCAGAGAACATGAAAGAAAAAGTTGTGGACTCCCTAAATGGAATTTTTTTCCTCCCAAACATACATGAGAATCTAATAGCTGAGAAATCTCCAGACATTGGAAGATTATTGTGAGAAACAGACGAAGGGGTTGGATTTCTATTTAATTTTAGCTTCAGTGAGCTACAGGGAAAGACTTATGTGGAAGAAATTATTCTGTCCATAAATTCACACAATCATTCAAAGGAAACATGGGAGAGGAGATTGGTAAAAGACACACGTTCTAAATTAATTCAGACTTTCCATTGATACAACTCCCAGGAAAAAAGTTATGGCATATTTCCACAGGCAACTTTCTTATTTTCTATGATATTGTTTTATAATTTATATAATTTGGGATATTACTAGTACCCACCAAGTAAGGTTTTTGAAAGGATTAAGAGAAGCAATAACTTTAAGACAGAATGAGGTAGGTGTGCATCAGCACATAGATAACAGGAAACAGAGATAGAGGGATTGTGGTTTCAGGCCAAGCTGGGCAAAACAATTAGCAAGAGTCTATCTCAAAAAAACAAGCCAAATATGGTAGTAGACATTTGTGGTTCTAGCCACATGGGAGACAGAGGTACAAGAATCATAGTCTGAGGCCAGCCTGAGCAAAACTGTGATACTTTTTCTTTGGAAAGAAAAAAAATGGGCAAAGGACATGGGCATGACTCAAGTGGTAGAGTGTTTGATAGCAGGAGGGAAGCCCTATGTATAATGTCCAGTACTGCCAAAACCAAGATAGCACTAGCCTGACTTGGCAATGTTTGTGCCACAGCTCAAACATAGAATATTGGGGGAAAAACATTTTAGAGATATAGAAACCCAGGCTAAGATACAAAATGACTATGAGTGCTTGTGAAGGCAGAGGGCATAGTCTGGGGGAATAAGATTTTCCTACAAGGGTTAGGTACTGTGATGTCTGAGTGCAGACAGGGAGTAGCTAAGAGGCAAGTCTGGTCAGCAAAACAGTGGCTCCTTTACTTAAAGGGTTCTAGAAGCTTGTAAAGGAGTTTCTGACCCTCCCATTCCAAAGGATAAACTGATAGATTTAACATAATATAGGGATTTAGGGATATGGTTCAGAATGTGTGTGGAAGATGGAACCTTTCGGAGCCATGGAGGGGAAAATATTCCTGGAGGACAAAAGACCTGTTCAATGGCAATGTCAGTCACACTAGAAACAGATTTGGCTTGCATCTGGATGTTGGCCATAGAAATAGAGCAATCAAAGTCATTCCAGAAGCAATTGAAAGCAGAATCAATAGGAATGTATTGAAATCAATTGTTATGGGACGTGGTTAAACTGAGAGATATGAAGAATTTCTCCCATGTTTTTGTCTGGGTGAACTATGATGTAACTCACTGGAACGTGAGACCTGGAGACACAGAAACAATCAAGGCTAGAAGAGAAATTCATCAAGTTTGTTGGACTTGTGTACTTAAGACAGCTGTTAGACATAGTGTGTGTTTGTGTGAGAAACCCTTGAGCACAGTGTAGAAAATCTGAAATGAGAAGTTATGCTACAATACCTGGCTGGATGTCTGGATTGCTTATGAAAATAGAGAGACCACTGGACAGGAAGAATGAAGGCAAATGGATTTGTAAAATTCTAAAACTTAAGAACTGTTAGAAAGGCTGGGACCAGTCACCCTTGTGTCCCAGAAAAGAGCCCATTAACCTAAGGGCACGCAGTCAGAGAGTGTCAGCGCTCAGCCTGAGAACTGAAATCAAGCCTCCTGGCTTCTGAGCAAGTCTTCTGTGTTTTGGGGTCTTAAAGGTTCAGCCTTCTAGAAATCTCTTTTCCTTACAGGATGTAAGTCACCTTGTTCCTATTTTAAGAAGACTTTTTAAGAGAAAGAAAAGAGGCGGGGGGGAAAGCAACATGGGAGACAACTCAGCAGCTCTGTCAAGGCCTGACTAAAGAATTATAATCTTTAGTTTGTTCTCTCTACTTAACATCTGTTATATGCAGAAAGATGATAATCACTGTATTGGTACATCATAGCTGGACAATAAAGAGAACCCAATAACAACACTGAATAATTCAGAGTCCAAGGTCTGCTTTTCCCTTGCTCAGATTCTATGTTGGGTTTGACGAAGGTCTAAAATGAAGTCAGGTCCCAGAGTGAACCTGAAAATATGATTGCCATCTCCACGTATCTATATTAACATGGGAATCATTCAGTAACGTTGGTCCAGCTTACCTTATTCACCCATTGGACACTTGCTGCCAATTTCTGTAACACACTTCCCCCATCTGATTGGTTACTCAACTAATGATGAACACAGGACCACCAAGCCAAATGTGCACAGTGATTTCTGCTAAAAAAAAAAAATGAAAGCACCATGAGTATCTTAGAATTGACATGAATCAATGAGGATAAACATTTATATAAGACTCTTAGAAATGAATCAGTCTAAGCCAGGTGTGGTGGTACATATCCATAATCACAGCTACTGGGTAGGCAGAGGTAGGAGGATCATTGTCGGAAGCCACCCTGGCAAAAGTATGAGACACTAATGTGAAAATCATACTGAAAATGAAAGAACTAGAGTTTTATCTCAAAGAGTTGAGTGCCCTGAGTTCAATCAATGAGGCTCTGAGCTCAATTCCCAGTAATACCAACAACAAAATACGGAAAAGAAAGTATCAGTCTAAATAGGTTAATATATATATATATATATATATATATATGTATATATGGACAAATCATTACAACTGTATGCAAAGTAGAAAAAAATTTCACTGTGGACACTAGAGATGCCAGAATAATGACATTAACCAGTTGTGAATGCACTTGGTACTTTAATGATAACCAACAACCATGCAAATTCACATCCATTTGCTTAAGGACTAACATAACAATAAACATGTGAGGGAAGATACGAATTCTTGGAGACCATTTCTGTAAAACATATACTCTGAGTCCAAAATCACTCCTTCCTTCCTTCCTATAAAAAAGAAAGTACCAGAGCTCCATGAACCAAAGGATCAAGGATAAAGAGGAAGAGTAATAATGGTGGTAGGGATTGTCCTTCCCATTCCAGAAGGCCAGAGCTTCAACCTAAGAGCTGCACATCTTCCTCAACTCTCTCATGCATTCGCCCTCTCCCTGTACCACACTCTTGGTTTTCTGTGTGGGGGCTATGTTCTTTCTGAATTCTGATCTGATTCATCGTCACATGTAATGAAGTGTCTAACACATTCCCTAGTCCAGAACAGCTGCTGGTGTATTTGTTGAATGGATGAAGAGAAGAATATGGAGTGTCTAAACAGATGTCATCTTTAAAAACTAAGGCAGTGAACCAGCAAAAGTGCTGACTGGCAGAGCTTCTTTACTATAACCAGTACAAAAGAGTTCTTGACTGTCCTTCATCCTACGGGCTTCCACATTCTAGAACCAGCTCGGCCTGGTTGAAAGACTCTTTCATCTTTCTTTTTGATTCTGAGACTTCGTTCCTTTCCATGCTTCATCTTACCTCCATCTAATAGCTCCTCAACACAATACCTCAAAAACACCACTGACCACAAACCCAAATCCTTCTTATGCAAGGGCTGTAGGTAAAAGTTAAATCTTTTATGATATATGCTTGTGTATAGCACATTGTAGCACTAAAACAATAGCATGGCCTTCTCCTGTGGTGGTACCAGGATATCAAGAACAGAGTAGCACTGTGATATTGTTCCCGGATGCACAAGGAGCCATGGAAAAAGTCCATGGAACAGTCTACACAATACATAACTTATAAGGAAAGATTCTACCTAGCAACTACCTTATATGTTGTGGACGGTCAGCAAAAATGACCCTACCAATAAATCACCTACTTACATGTCACAGCCCTAGTGCAGGCCTTTTCCATGTGAATCTGAGCTGGGCTTGGGTATTCAGTGAAATACAGCACAAGAGACATTATATGAGCCTCAAAGGAAGTACATTTGCCGCAGTATATCCAAAGAGCAAAATTTCAAACTGAAGAGACTTAGTTGTAATCCTGAAGATCTAAAGGAATTTGCCTTACTAGATTGAGACTTGCTTGGATCTATCACTCCTTCCATCCTTCTTTCCAATTTCTCCCTAACAGCACAAAAATGCCTTTCTATTCCTGCCTGTCCACTATGATAACTGTATATGCATGTAATTTATTCAGTGTCATAAGCTACAGGTGAAATAATTGTTTTCAGGATGAATCCCACCTTGAATTTCATTTGCACTGGTATCAGTGAATCTTTATATCTTAAAGGTGATGTTAAAACAAAATTTTGGAAGTTACAGCCATGAACTAAGCTCTCCTGCTTAAGCCATATTTCCAGCCCTCTTTGCCATGATTATTTTTGAGATAGGGTTATATCTGTTTGCCTGGGCCAGCCTAGACCTCAATCCTCCTAGTTACACTTCCTGTTGTAGTTGGTGTGTGACCGCTGTATGCCACCACATCTAGCTTTTTCTGTTTAGTGGGCTCTTGTGAACATTTTGGCCAGGGCTAGCCTAAAACAGCAATCCTCCAGATTTCTGCCTCTCAGTTAGGAGGGATTACCAGCATGAGCCATCAGCATCCGATTTGATTTGAAGTCTTACGTTGTACTGTTTGTTTACTACTCATCAAATCCTACTTAGGGTAGGTGTACAAATACTTAACCAAAACAGATAATTGCAGAGTTGTACATGTTAACTCCAAATTAGTATTCATCTCTATACCATTCTATTTTCCATCTGAAGAAAGAGTTTTAAAGAAGTTAAGATCTTAGATCTTAACTGTGTGGTTAAGGGCAGCCATTAGCCCACAGCTCATGCCCCAGGCTGCTTACTCCATGCTTCTATATCTATATATGATGCTCAATGCCGAATTGTAATTACAAGAAAACAGCCATGAAGAGTGCCGGGGCTCCAAATGGATTTGACACAGCAGTCCTTTAAATGAAACTCTTAACACGAGGATCTTTATTTCTCTTTAGTAGTTTCCCTAAGTAAGCTGTGCCTTTAGTGGCACCTAATACGAAGTGACAACCTTCACCATTTTCCAAAGGAGCGATGGACGGGCGTAGACAGAGGCCATTGTCACCATGGTAATTACTGCACAATACCTGATGGCCAATGGACAGTCAGGAGGCCCAGGCAGCAGCTGAATCCGGCATTGTCCTGACCCGATAAAAAGATTAGAAGCCCTGAAAAGCCGGGGAGCAGGATCTCACAGCTCTTTCGCTAGGCCGTGAAAGGGCCATTGTGCTACCACCATAAATTCTGGGTTTTCTGGGCACTTGACAACTGAAGCCAGGGATAATAGAATTCTTGTGTCCAACAAAACGCTCCTTGTCCAGCGCCAGTCTTATCAGCCGCATTTACAAATGTCTTTCGTTGTACCCAAATAATTCCCTATTAGAAGGGCTATTGGGAGCAGAACTAAATAAATATTCACAGCCTTTGTAATATCTTTGGGAAATGAATAAACAAACAGTCATCTAGCATATGAGCACACCTCCGGCTCCTCTACATTCGAACCCCATTCTCCCCCCAATGACAACAGTTTCACTTCTTCTTTAGCATATTAGCAATCACAATACTGAAAAGCTCCCGTTTTATTGCTATCAGCTGTACATCCTTGATATTATGACTTTGGTGTTCAGTGTGTGATTTTTAAGTTAATGTTGCCAACAACACTGGAAGAGAGATGGTTTATTCTATTCTGTTGATTCTATCCCCGAAGAGGATGGAAGTGAACTTTGGAGAAGTTAACAACTTGTCCAGGATAACCAAGCTAATTAATACAATGGGAATTCCAATCTAAATTATATCCTTGCATCCAGAGGTCCTGGCCTTCTTTTCACACCCCCATGATAACTGCTCTACTGAGTAACAAGGGAAGAAAAGTTAAGACTAAGAAGGAAAGGCTAAGTATACCCATTATAAAAGTTGTATCTCTTCATTCCGCCTATGTGTTTGGTTGACACACTCTGGGAATACCCAGAACAGAATAAAACCCCAAAGCTTTTCCCTAAGACTATATTGTAGTTTGCTCTGTTAGCCATGTCACTTTTGCATTTTTCTGTGGAAGTGACAAGGTGAACAAAAGAAATATAATCACACTTTAAGACAGCTTTAAAAATATCCAGACAGTTGAGTAAGGTATGATAAATAATTACTGGTCTCAAAGCAGTCAACACCCATGTGATCAATTATGTATGGCCATATATGGGCAACAATTATGTCCTTTTTTAAGTCGGTTTAGTTTACTTATTAGCCTTTTTGTCATGAATGAATATACATTATACTGGAATATAATGTATATGGCAAAACGGAAGTCACCAATTAGATAGATGGCAATTTATATATTTTATATATATATATATATATATATATAAAGAATCTGTTAATATTAAAACTCTCAGGAGGTTTTCTATTAGGTCAGGAGACATCCATATTTAACTACATAGGTCTTTCCCAGGCCTCAAATGCATACTTCAACTCCTACTCCAGTAAGTTCTGCTATTCACCCTTCTGACATGTAAACTCTTCCATTAAAACTTCTTACAGGGGGCTGGGAAGGTGGCTCAGTGGTAGAGCACTTGCCTTGCATGCCTGAGGCCCTGGGTTCGATTCCTCAACACCACATAAGCAAAATGAAAAGAAGAAGCTGGAAGTGGCACTGTGGCTCAAATGGTAGAGCGCTAGCCTTGAGCTGAAGAGCTGAGGGACAGTGCCCAGGCCCAGAGTTCAGGCCCCATGACTGGACCCCCCCCAAAAAAAAAAAAAAACTTCTTACAGTTTGAACTCAGGACTTCAGGAGACCCTGAGGGCACCAAATGGAATTCCTTTACAGCACTTCATTGCTTTTTCTCTCTGTTGTAGTCAGAGCTCCTGGTACACAGGGCTAGCAGCTCCTTCCAACTTTGCATCCAAGGACTGAAACCACATCTTAATTTCATTTTTATTAGCCTGGATCAGTATACTGCTAACCCTCAACAGGAATCGGAATGTTACACTGGCCGTGAATAGTAATTAACCAGAGAATAATCACAAAACTATATTGCTTTTCATTTTCTAAAAATCTGAAAATAACCTTCGCCCTTTCAATTCATGTGATGTCAAATGACAAGAGCAGTTAGTCATTTGCTTTGAAGGACTGTAATGAAATCCTCACCTGGCCCAAGTTACTCAAACGAGATAAATGCAGTGTGGCACCATTTTATTCGTTTCCTAACATAAAGTCAGTGATGTTACAGTTAAGTTGTCTTTCTGCAAACAATCAGAAAAGACATGAAAAACAACAGGTATTTTCTGACAGGCATTTAAATGCACATGTTGTTGTTGAGTTTGAGAGATTAT